CAGTCACAGCTTCTCTGGGCACCCTGTGCCAGCACCTCAGCACCCTCACAGGGAAGAACTTCTGCCTAAGAGCTCATCTCAATCTCCCCTCTGGCAGGTTAAAGCCATTCCCCTTGTCCTTGCCCTGCAGGTCTTTGTCCAAAGCCCCTTTCCAGGTTTCTTGTTCCAGTCTTGCTCCATTGCCAAATTGTAATAGAAATAAGCTTAATATCTCATGCTGCTGCTTATAGTACCTGCAGTCACAGGTTGGACACTGGGCTCTTTGTTAGATGATCTTCAGCTTCATCTATACTGACTGAAGAGGGCACTGCCTGTGCCATCAGTCTTGTGATCTGCCAGCAGAGCTGCCTGTAGGAGCCCTCCTGAGCCCCATTCAGTCAAACCCAGCCAGGTTAGCAAGGACCATGTTATCTAAGATGTTTGAATGTTCACTGGTACCTTCCAGCCTGGGGTGGTGGCCCAGCTGCAGCAGGAAGCAAATGTGTGTCCACAGCCTATGCCTTATCCTGAATTATGGCTAAACCAGTGTTTTCAAGTCCCTGAACTACTTCTGCCTGCCCCATTCCCAGATGGAAGTGCTGAGATAGCAGCACTGAGACTCCTGGGCTATAGCTGGGATCCTGGTAGGGCAGATGCTGTGTGGAAGATGGGGCTTGGTTGTGTGAGCTGTGCTTCGCTGCTGTGGAAGTTGGTCCTCAGCTGCTGGTGGTGAGTGGTGTCAAAAGTGCTTAAAATGAGGTTAAAAAAAGCCCCAGTCCCTGCAGACATTCACCCAGAATCAGCTTTTTACCTTCCCATTCCAGTTCGTTCCCATTCCCCAGGAATTCGAGGGAATCTGTCTCATCAGGAGTTTCGATATCATCCACATTAATGTCCAGGTCATCTGGTGTGTCCAGGAAGTCATCGGAGAGAATGGAGCCTTCACTCTGGTCCAGGGAAATGTTGATTTCAGGTGCAACAAGTGTCTTCCGCTTACGATGCGCCCCGTTAAAGTTTAAAGTATTGGGGGGAGCTGGAGTTAAAAGGAAAATAACTGACAGGTTGTCCTTGTGCTGTATCCTGAGTGCAAGACATGGTGCTGTCATTATCACATTGCAGGCTATGGTCTTGGAAGCTAAGGGTGGTGGATCAGAACTGGCAGTGCTGGACACCTGCAGGTATGGGTGGATAAAAGTGCCCACACTTCCAAGATACCTATTTCCTCCCCCAGCTCCTGGTGAAAGATTAGCAAATTCAAATCTGTGCTGGTTTCGTCTCCCACATGGGAATTTTCATGGATACTCCAAGGGAACTGGCTTCCACCCTAACTGCAAGCTGGTACTTACAGGATGTGTTCTCATCTTCTGTAGGGCTGCCCAGTGACTCCATCCCTGTTTCTTCCGGGAGAGGTCTGCAGGCAAGCCGAGATGTGGAGGTCAAAAGACAGGAGGTAATGTGTAATGTTAAGGAGAAAGTCCCTCCATGGCAGCCAGTGGAGAGAACTGGGGACATCAGGGTAAAACATGCAGCTGCTGTGTACTCTGCCCCTTCCCTTCTGCCTGCGAGCTCAGCCAGAGGGACACCCCTAGGTCATTTGACCAAGAGCAACCCAGCAGCTCTGCTCTCTGCCTGGAGTACTGTGCAGTCCCTGGTAACCTCCAAACCATCCCACCAATGCATCCCTCATGCTGCCATTCAGCCAAGAGGCTGGAAAATCCAGCCAGGGGCACAGGAACAAATCCTGTCCCCTGATGAGCCTGGTAACATCCTCACTTTCTCCATATTATCCCCATTTTTTTTCTCCATCAGAAGTTTGAGAGGCAGTGCCAAGCTTTAGGGTACCTCATCAAGGGGACCAGGGAGCACCTTCTGCAGTTGTCTGTGTTCCTGTTCCTTGCACAGTGTAGGCAATGCAGTGGGCTGTCCAGACAGCCTGAATTCAGCTGTTCCTAAGCTCAGGGAGGGATGCTTTGATCCCAGCAGCAGCTGAGCTAGTGCTGGATGCTGAGCACAAGAGCACTTCGTGCTCTCTGCTAATGGCTTTGCAAAGTACATCCTCCTTTCTGTCACAGGCCCTGGCTGCAGCAGAGCAGAACTTCATCCACACACAACTACCTCTCCTGGGAGGCAGCTGCCTCCTTGTTCAAGAGAGAGCACCTTTGCTTTAAGGCAGTTGGTGTTTGACACAAGGATCAAACCTCAGGTGTGATCCCAGATTTGCCACCTCATCCTCACCTCAGCCCCATCTAACAAGAGCTGACGGTGACACCCAAACCCTGCTGAGGGTTGGAAGCAGGTTCATTCTGAGCTAAGATGCAGGTACCAGCACTCAAACCCATATTGTGGAGCCAAAGGCTGACCCACTGCTCCCCTCCTGGGCTCCATGGCAGAGGTCAGGATCTGCAGCTTGTACTTGGCTCCTTCACCCTCTGGGTATCAATCCATGTGTCTCCAGCCAGAGGCTGGAAGCACTGCTTCATTTAAAAGCTGACTTTCCTGTATAGATGCTAACACCCAATCTCATTACATGCTTGTTACCCTTTGGAGTTACCCCAATATTGGTCAGAAGCAAGTGATGTCAGGATATGGCCCCCAGTACTGCAGCAAGGAACCCCGGCTGGTGGCTGAGCAGTACTGCCACTCTGAACTGGACACTTTTCCCCTTCATTTGAGCTGGGCCTTGTGCCTGTCCCCTGGTGACCAAACCCCACCAACCCCCCAACAAGTTCATGTTGTCAGTCTGCTTAAAAGGGTCCTTCTGAGCTGTCCTCCTTTCACTTGCCCCTTGCTGGAAGCTCCCCCCCAAGGGGGGAAGAGCTCGTACCCCCAGGCATGAAATCCCGGGTGCTGGGACAGCCCTGGGGTGAAAGAGGGGGTACCCACCAGTCTGAGGGCAGCATCCATAGGGATGGGGTGATCCAGGGGTGATGGAGCCCAGTACCTCTGCATCCACAGGCTCTGCCCTACAAAGGCTCCTCTTTGTGCTGGCATCACACCAGAGCCACCAGTCAAATTAAGCCCTATAAATATTTAGATTAAGGGATAATCCTCTCCTAGCTGGTTATTGTATATTTATGAGAGTTGAAGGCCTGATCAAAGGCGCTTGCTCCTTGCTTGTGCAGCACCCAGACCCTGTGGGCTGCCACACTATTCCTAAACGCTCAGAAAGGTCTCTCTGGCCCCCTCCAGCTTCTCCTCCTCCCTTTTGCTTTTGTCCGCAGGGGGCCTGGCTGGTTGTTTGTCTGTAAGCCGGCGCCTGGCACAACTTGGGGACAGAGCATCACAAGGGAGCCAGGCCCAGCTGTACGTGCTGCAGTCGGGCACTCTGTGCTCCAGTGCTAGGATTCATTTAAGAAAAGCAATTCCAAAGCCAGAGGTGAAGAAAAGGCCTTTCTTACCTTCCCCAAGGGGACTCAGCTCACCACCTCCCAGTCTCTCGGGTAAATCCTCCTTCCCAAACGCAGCCAGCCCAAGATTTTCTGAAGGAAGCAGGTTCTCTAAGAGCCGGGTGCCACCATTTTCCTCCCTGCTGCTCACTTTCCCTCTCTAAGCATCTTCTCTCGGGCCCCAACCAGCCTGAGCCTCCAGTGCCCGTGAGCCGCGGGATGCTGATGGAGTGAGCATGCTCCTGCATCCGCCCCGCGGCAGCCACAGCATCAGCGCAGGACAGCGCTGCACAAGCAGCCGAGACACAGAAACCTTCCGGGAGCGGCAGGAGGGGGGACTCTTTCCTCCTCGCTCGCTCAGTGCCCTGGCGTTGCACCTTTGAGCTTGTGCTGCAGATCAGCTTCTTCCAGAGGGATGGGAATGTCCCCGTGTGTCCTTAGTGAGCAGCTGAATTCAGTTTTCCCAGCCCAGAGCTTTGTCTAGGATATGGTTGGGTCTTTTTTTTTTTATGGCAAGATTGGTTAATCACAGCTAAGCAAAAATAGCTATGCAGCAATTCATCTGCTGGAGAGCTGCTGTCCCACATGCAGCAGCTTCTGCCCTATTATTTTAATGCTTCTGGGGGGGAAGTGTCTTGAAAATGATCATTTCTTTATTTTGAATGCTAGTTAAACACAGCTGCAGTCACTCGTTTGCCTCCTGGCTGGCTGGGTTCTATTGCACTTGCATCATTCCTGATTTAATCCCTCTGCAGCAGTCCATCAGCAGGCTGGGGACCTTCTCATCCAGCCACGGTGACATCCCTTTGCCTCCCCCCATGCTTCGTTTGCTGGGTGGGAGTGATGTTGCCCGTGTTAGATGGTGCTGAGGGCTTTGGAGAAAAGATGCCCCTTGAAGGCTTGACTGTGGCTGGGGTCAGTTTGCTGCTTGCATGGCAAGTGTGGAACAAGAGCCTGGCAGCTCCTGCTCCAAGGTGATAGTGTGGGTTAGTGCCTGGGTGTCTGGATGCTAGACTAGCTTTGTCCTAGATTTTATCATAGAATCACAGACTGGTTTGAGTTGGAAGGGACCTTAAGGCTCATTCAGTTCCAACCCCCTGCCTCGTCCAACCTGGACTTAAACACTTCCAGAGACTTTTGGGGAGCTTTGAGTCAATGCTTTCCCTTCTGTGCCTCACTTTCCCTTCTACTCAACTCAAAGCTTGTCAGCACAGCGCTCTGGGGGAGCCTTAGGTTGGCAGAGGTCCATGAGCCCAAAGCTCAGCTCTCAGAGGAAAGAAAAGGTCCATCCGAGGAGCCCAAGGCCTTGGCTGAGCCCACCTCTGGGCCAGCGGAAGGATGAGCTGTGTCCTGTGATCCGGGTGCTGTGCTGGCAGACAGAGGTGCTCAGATCAGTGCTGCAGCTGGAGCCGGGGTGAACAGAGCCAGGCTCATCCATGGTGCCAAGGGGAACAGGAGACCCTTTCTCCCAGGGCAGGGGCTGCGGGTGCCCCCCCGCAGAGCACACTGTGCCTCTGTCTGTGCATACAGCAGCTCTGTGGGCTGCCCAGGGAGCTCAGCTGCAGCTGGGACATGGAGAGACAGCCCTGAAAAGCCCCTCAGCAGTGCAGACCCCAGCTGCAGCAGGGCTTGGTGTTGGCCATGCTGGATGTGTGGGGCAGCACTGGGGTGGATGCACCCTTTGGGTGGCTGTAAGGAGTTCAGGACACACTGAGCATACAGGGATACTCTTTTTGGTACTCTACACAGTTAATAAAGTGTCTGTGAAGGTGAAAGATGCCACTTTGGCACTTTCTGTCACCCACACATCATTTCTTACAAGGTTTGTGACCATTCAGGTTCTGCCTGTCAGTGACAGTGGTCATTGCATCCCAATGACTGCTTCCTGTGGCAAATTCCTGGCAAAGCAGCACTGCTCTGTCTGGGGAGATACTGCTTGATTCAGAGACTGGGAAGGAGTCCATCCACCCCCATGTGCATCCATCCACCCATCCCTATAATCATTCATCCATCCCTACTAATCTCCCTGTACTCCATACCGGCTCCTTACCCTCTCCTTGGTGTGCTCACAGAGGGTTGCCAGAAGCCTCCCAAAATTCGTAAGCATTCAGAGCAGCCTTGCTACAAAAGCTCTGTTCTCTGGCCAGAACTGCCCTGTTGGAGTCAGATTCCTGTTGCCTCTGGTGGGAGGGCCCTGCATGCTCCATGCCCTGTGGGTTTCTTACAGGAAGAAATCAAATTCACCTCGACCTTTTTGGCAGAGAACAAACCTTGGGAAGTCCTCATCTTGCCACTCTTCCTTCACATCCACGTTTTCCATCCGCAAAGTGGCTTCTGTGGTCCCCATGGTGCTCAGAGAGGGGCTGGCTGCACAGCAGGTCCCTTGAGGAAGGGTTTGGGCTGGAAGGTGGAAGGCAGAGGTTGGCACCCAACCATTCAGAGCAGGTGTGCTGACACCCTGCCCCACAGAGAAGGAAGGATAAGGGGATCTGTGGCTACTTGGCATGCTTTGGACAAGGAGGTGAGGTTTGGTCCTGGGCTGAAGCACTAGGTGTATCTCTGCTGTTGTGGCCTTAGCTCTTCTCCCTGAGAATCAACACTGTCTGGGCTGATGTCCACCCATTTCCCCCTTGCTTCTAATTTTTCCCTTCTATTCTAACACTAATCTCAACATAAACAAGCACCTCTGCTGAGGAATATGAAGTGTGGCAGAAAGGAAAGAGAAGAAATTGCTTTTCCCAATCTGGTTTCAGGTTGGGTTGGCAGAAGCACCATTTTGCTGGCCTGGGCAGAAGTTAATGGCTTTGGGTTTTGGTTTTCCAGAGCAATTCCTGACTGCTGCTCCTGGTTTGTTCTCCATTTCCATGCTTGCCCCTGCACCCTGAGAGAAATGGAGCAGGGCTGGGCTGAGGGCTCAGGATCAGCTCTGGTTGGAGAGAGCAGGTACCCTGGATGCTGCTGTGGCTGAGCTTAGCTGCACCTGAATCTGGAGGGGACAAGGTCAGGCCTCATCCTGTACAGAACATGTTGATGTGAAAACAGCTCCTATGTTGGGCATGTGCACTAACCCACTGCAGGACAGTTCTGAACGTTCTTCCTGAGACCAGCTTTTACACTGTAAATGTATCCAGGTACTGGCTGGATAATAATGCATTTTTTTTTTTAGGATAAAGGACCCAGGGAGATTTCCCAAGTGGATGGGACTGCTCTGTTTGTCCCCCAGTGTCAGGAAAATCAGCATCTAGCAGAGCCTGACCCATTGCTGTAAAGCTTTTCTAGAGACCCAGTGCCTTTCCTGCTTCCTTTGGAGGCTTGTCTTTACAGGGGATGTCGCTGGTGATGATCTGGAGGGAGATAAATCTGTCTGTGTCTATCTGCTTTAAAGGAATGAAGCTATGTAGAGGCCTGAGTAAATCCAGCATCCGTCTTTATGACAGGCACTGGCACAGACTGGGATCAGAGCAGAGCTGCTGGGAACGTGGCAGCTCTCAGCCCAGCCCCGCACACACGTTCTGCATTCTGTCCTTACACTAGGCTGCATGCGATACCCGTGCCACTGGCACACGTCTCCATTTTTGATTTCCCTACCTGCAGGCAAAGGAGATACCTTGGGGCTGAGAGAGACCCCACCTTCCCTCCCTCCTCCCCACTGCTGTCATCTGCTTTCTGCTAACCCTGAACGCATCATGGAGGGAGGAAGAGAAAGATATGAAGCAAATCCCAGGCTGGAGTGGGATGTTTCTCAGTATCAGACATCACCCAGCAGTATGGAAGCCCAGACAATGCTGTACTCACCAGTGCCTGTGGTTAGTGAGGAACAAAGAAGATCCTGCCTGTGTCCCGGGTAGGCATTCCTCCCGATGGAGCTGGGCTGCTCAGGAGGTCCAGCACCTGGAGTCGGGTGCAGACGTGTGCAGCTTTCCCAGCGGAGCAGTGTGGGGATGCATCTAGGTCGGCCTTTCTCACAGCACTCCTTGCTTGGTGATTTGGATTTTGCTGCAGCAGGGCGGGGTGTGTGTGTGTGAATTGAGGGCAGTTATTTGTATTCTTCCATGGCTGCTGCTTCCTCTGCTGCCTCCCTCCCTTCCAAGGTAGTTGATTATTGTGTTCTGCTTGCAGCTGGCTAAGCCTCAGCTCTAAGGCAGCCAATTGCTTTTGTGTGTGAGGAGGATGGCGGTGGTGGTGCTGACAGGGAGGGGATGCTATGGAGGACGGGAGGAGAGAGGAGCTGGAAGCATCCCTCTTCCAGT